TCTAGTTTCCTTTTCTAATGCCTTTCTCATCCCTCGGGGAGGTGGCAGTCAGGGTAGCACAGCCCCAAATCTGGTTCCCAACATCTGGGGGAGTGAAAAGCTCTTTTTTGTGGCAGTGACTTTGGGGGATGAAATGTGCTAACATGATGCAAATCACCCTTATGAAACAGCCAAATGCCCTGRGACTCCATCCTAAAAATATTCCAGGAATATGGCTCTGCTGAATTTCCTTCATTTCCTCCCGTCAGAGGCCAGATCATCTGCAAATATATCTGTTTTTTGAGCTGTCCTGTGTTATGACACAGCTGGAGTTGGTTAAAATCTAGAGGGCAGTATCTGCTGTAAGCTGATGGGTCTTTGTGTGGCTTTGATTTATTATTCTAGAACAGCCTGTCCCCTCTTCCATCCTGCAGATAGCTTTGGTTTGTTTTCATGAAAAAACAGAGCAAGGCCGAAATATTGCTTTATTGCTCTCCATGTGTAAAGCAAAGTCAAGGTTGAGGCATGAAAATCCCCTGATTTCACCAAATTGAAGTGGTTTCCCCTCATTTCAGGCAGGGATGGGTGRTGAGGTCAATCCTTTGCAGAAACTTTGACTTCCTGAGCTTTGTAGAATTCAGGGAGACAGATGATGAAGGTGCTGCTTCCTTTCTGTAACCCAAAATTATAATTTCCATTTTAATCCAGGTGTTTGAAAGAATACATTTAAACCCTGGAAGGTTTTGGTGACACAAGGAGAGCAAACAATGGTTYGGGCATTATGGTGTTTTATGCTGAGATACTTAAGAGAGGAGGAAGGAGAAAAAAAAACCCAAAAAGCTCATTATCTTGGTGATCAGTTTTTCTTTTCAAGTGTGAACTTGCTGTGGGTTTCTGCTTTGCACTCTGCAGTCAGGAGTTGGGGTATTTTTGTGGGAGATTTTTTCCCTCAGTACAGGAACTTTGTCATAGCTGCAGCTTTGGCTCTAAGGCTTGTGCCAGAGGTTTTTAGGTTGGAGTTTTGTTTTCTGWAAGAGGGTGGCAATGGGAATCACAGGATGAAGGAAATCCATAGGGGCAAWTTTTTTTTGTAAATGTTCACGCTGSAATTTGGGGAAACAGGAGTTAAAAGCTTATTTAATTTTATCCTGAGTTATTCTAAACTGACATTGAAGAAACAGCCAGGGAGAGGGAGATTTTAATGGAAACCATAATAATAAACTTTGCTGTAAAGTGGAGGAAGCAGGTCCCTTTAGGCTGTGGCTCTGGTTCAAGTCRGAGATTACTTTCTAATTCCTGAATCGGTGCCCCCGGTGAAATGTCTGAAATGTCTGCTGGATGCTGCTTCCCTCTGCTCAGGAGACACAAGTGGGTGTGTGACAGCTTTTACCTCAGCCCTGTGGGGCAAGGAAGAGAAAATCCCCAGTTTTAAGCCATCCTGGCACCTGACTCAAAGTCCTCTGGGGTCACCCGGGGTCCCTGGATCAGACCTTTGTAATAAGCAGCCGTTGTTTCCAGACAAAGAAAAAAAATAATCTGATTTTCTTTGGCTTTGAGGATTTGTTGTGCTTTTTTAAAGCAGAAAGAGAACCTCAAAGGACATTTCTTTGTTTTCCCCTCAAGACTGTACTCTTGGCTGCAGCCCATCTCTCTTGTACTGCAGCCCTTAAGTGCATTTTTTTCCTTTTCCCCTGCCTGCCCTTTTTGCTGACAGAGCAGGGTGGTTGTGTGTCACCCTCTGCCATCCCAGGAAGTTCTCCAGGGGGTGGCAGGTGACCCCAAGAGGGACAGGGACAGAGCTCAGTGTCCATGGAGAAGCTCTTCAGCTTTGGGGTGAGCCCTGCTACAATTCCTTGGGGTCTKTCTCTTACTCCAGCACCTCCTTTCTCATGGTTAAAACCCAGTTTTGACTGATCCCAGCTCCAGGCTGGAGTCCCTGGATCTGTGTCCCAGCAGGGATTTGCAGAGTTGCTCTGGAAAGGGCTCATTTCTCAGCTGGGTTCAGCTCCTTGTGCCTCCCTGCTGCTTGGGCTGCTGCAGCTGTGGGCACRGGGTAAATATTTGTTTAAACCCATTGTACCCCAAAGGGCTGTGAAAAAAAACCCTCTCCTGACCGACACTGAGACAGTTTGTGAAGCCTTAAACTCTTCATATTCCCATAAAAAGAGATTTCTAAGATAATCACACKCTAAAAATCAGATTTTATGCAAAAAGGAGGGCACCAAAACCCATCTTTTATTTTATTTTGTCCTATAACTCTTGCACTGTCTTTGTGAGACTTTAGGACACCTTTGGTTAAAAAAACATATTATGAAACTTTGTTTCTCAGTCAGCTAAAATAGTTTGGCAGGGAAGAAGTGTTTTGTGGTTTAACCATGAGTCCCATGATGCTTCACCTGACTAAGCAGCTACTTCAGGAATCAATCCACAACTGCCAGACTTGAAAATAAGATGGGATATATTTATTTATTTACTCATTCAACCATAACTCATGAGCAATCGAGTCCCGGAATGCCTTCCCTGCTAAGCAGGCTCCTTGGTGATGGCCAGGTCTCTCTCATCACAGGAATTGTGAAACACCAAATTGGTAGTTAATCCTCCTTTTAAAAAAAAAAAAAAAAAAAAAAGAAAAAAAAAAAAAAAAGAATAGTAATATAAAAAGTTGCCCAAGTTCTGAAAACAGGTTGTTTACTACTGAATATGAGGAAAAACTGCCACAGGTGTGGGTGTGTGGGGCAGAGCCACGAGCTCAGCTGCCATCCAGACCTGGCACATGCAGACTGATGGCTCCAGCCTCATGGAATTCTGGCACTATCAGCATTTTGGTTCTCTCTTTAGTTCAGCAGTTATTTTTTTAGCCATTCAGAGTACAGAAGCTAGGGGATTGGCTTTTTGCTTTTCCTGTTGTTGTTTTTTAGACTRTTTCATAATGTGTGGGATGTTTCCCCTTCTTTTTTTAACCCCACATGCTGGGTCCTTGGGAAGGAACCAAGCTTACTCATTCCTTCTTCCAGACAAATAGAAACAGATATTTCATTTTAAAAGAAACAGAATGAAGAATTCCTGTATCTTTTTGATCCTGGAGCTGAACTGAGCTGTTTATATCATTTCCTCAGCCTGAATTGCTGCATGGACAGGATTGGAACAGTTAGAAATTAAAATGAACTGCCCCAGCAGACCTGGCCTGTGTGCTTTGGGCTGAGCTCTGCCATGAAGGGAGCTGAAGGTGATGCTCATCAGAACAAAAGGACCCTTGGGAGGGCTTWTTTTGGATTAGCTTTGAATTCCAAAGTACAGCACTGCTGCTGTGTTTCAAACTGGGAAGCAATTCCGGTTAACAGGAATAACTGGGAAACTAGAGCCAGCTTTTCTCCTGGTTTACTGTAAATTCACCCCACTCTAAATCCTGCAGAACTGCACTTGATTTTATAGCCAAGGAAAACCTGAAATCCATTCTCAGCTTCCTTGGAGCCAGAGTTTGTCAGAGGGTCCTTCAAACTGCACTGCAGTGATTCTTTCATAAACTCTGYCCTGATAATGAACCTTTAAATGGGAATTGGGATCACACTTGGAGTAAAGGATTCTTGCTTTTGGGATCATGTGTGTATGATCATTGATCCCCAGTGTAATTTGCAGATGAAAAGCTGTTACCAAGCTGATTTTTGAGGTTGTCTCTGGTGTAATTGCAGGTTGAAATCAGCAGCACAGCCTCAGCTGAGTGATCCAGACCCAGCCCTGGCAGGCCAGACACACAAAACCACTTGGCATCTGCATTCGTTAAGGGATTTGGTGTTTTACTGCAGCTGAATTAGTGATTAAACGGGAGAAACTTTATCTCCAAGGAAAGTTTCTGCAGAATCTTGCTGAGCCTTGGCAGAAGGAAATGGGAAGTTCCCTTGGAAGAGGCAAGTGCATTGTTCTCCCTTACAATTAACTCAATTAAAGTCCCTGGGAGTTCGTATTCTATTCAGATGAGGATTTGAGCTCTTAGGGGGGAAAAAAAGGCCTTTTATCACCTCAGAAGAAGAATTAACACCACTGCTCTAATGTAGAGGAAGGGGAGGAAAAGCAAACCAGAAGCCATTGTTTACAAAGGATGTGGGGGAGAGAACAAGTTTGTTTTTCTGATTTTCTCTGCTGGCATTGCACTAAAAGATAAAAATAACTGTATTTCACTACTGAATTGTCAGGTTGTCCCTGCACATGCCTTACATGTCTGTCTAAACAGAGAAGGATGACTGAAATCATTCTTGCCAGGACGCTGCCCAGGCTGACGTTCTTTTGTGCCACTGAATTCTAATGAATTCTCACAAATGCCAAGCAAAGCTGGTACAGCATCCTGAAGGAACAGCAGCAGCCAAGATTTCTTGCTACTGCACYGGCAGAATCACCAACAATTGACTCAAATCYRTCAGCAGGTGTTGGTGGAGGCAGCTCCATCCCTGTGGTGAGCACAGACCCTGCTGTGAGCAGGACTTGTGGCACAGGGGGGGKKSYCYYSRARSYTYYTTKKYYTTTTTTGATGCTTTAATTCAAATTGTGGTTTTTCTAAGGAAGGTTTTAATTTGAGCACGTGTAGCTCAGTAAAGGCTGGGCTAGGCAAGTGATAAAGGTCAGTGCCTAAAGGAGGATTCTCAGCTCAAATCTTAAAAGGCACAGAAAATTTGGAAGATGAAGGGCAGGTTTTGTTCTTGTTTYGCCAAATGAAATGCAAAAGTCAGAGATTTTCTAAATTTAATTAGAATAATTTTTACTAATTTTTAAATTAGAATTAATATTAAATTTTCCWAGTTTTAATTTTCTAATTGAGTGAGCTGGCTGTACTCATGTCTCAGTCTATTTGGGGGGTGCTTGCTCTCTGCTGTGCTCCCACCCAGACTTTCACACCCCTCCCACACTCAGGACAAGGCAAAGATTTTGTCTGTCTTTTCCCCTCCTCTCTCCCCTTTGCCCACCCACAGCCTGGACACTGATGTTTTCCTTACCCTTGACCCCAYATTGCATTCAGCATCCTCTGACATCTCACAGAAGGCACTTTTGAATACTTGGCTCCCACATTTGGTCTGGCCTTGTGTTCCCWGGAGACATCCCTGTCTCAGATTGATGGGATGTGAACTCCTGGTGCCTGCAGGAACTTCCTTGAAGCACCAGGACAGGCCTACCGAGAAGGAATATTTGGTTTGGGTATTTACATTTTCAGGAAAAGCCAAAAAACTGTGTGTGTCTCTTCTCTTCACCCATCTGCTGTCTCAGCACCTCTCCSCTGCTCCATGGGCAAATCTGCTTTGCCCAGTGACAGTAATTTCCCCCACATGAAAAGAAAATTTTTAAAGGCTGAGCTAAGCATTTTGCTCTCAGGATTCTTGGCTTCCTGGATGTGTTTTACTAATCCCCAGAAGATGCTGCTGACCTCATTGCTCACGGTTTTGCACCACTTTGAGGAGGGGTTTTGCTTCCTCCTTCCACTGACCAACAATCAATGACATCACTTCATCTGTGCTAATGATACATTTAAAATTATAGCTGTTTTTAAAATGTGGATATTTTCCTTGCTTGTAACTCGCTTATGATCATAATCTAAGGCTCCTCAGCTTGCCTCCACACAACTTCCTCTGTTTTTTTTTTTTTTTTTCTGCAGATAAATGGCTCAGCGTTCCTGCTCCCCAGCACTGGGATACTCCTCATGTTGTGGGTTGGCAGCACTTTGGCACAGTCACCCGTGAAAACGCTGCCCCAGCAACAGCTGAATGTGTTCAAACACCCATAAAASAGAGGTGAGAAAACTGCTGAGGCTCCACTTCGTGTGGCAACCTGTGCTGATAGACAAAGAAAGGAAAATTACCAACTTTCATAACCAAACCCGTGCGCTGGAGGAATCTGGCACAGATTAAACACATAAGGTAAGAGAAGCAGCATTTCTGTCCCAGGATTGCTCAGGTTAGGTTATTTCTAGAATATTGGCAATTCCTGCTCACTGAAGCAGCTTTTTCCATCACAGAGCAGATAAGGCTCTTGCAATGACACTGGCAATCCTCTGCACCCATCCCAGTGCCCAGCCACTTCCTGGCAGCCAGTGATTCAGTTTTCCATTTTGGAAACAAGTCCATTTCTGTTTATCCTCACTGATTGTTTTTGCCTCTTGTGATGGATGAAAACCATAGGTGTGCCAGATTTTCCAGTGGGACTATTCTTGGGCGAGCCAGTGGCTAGTCCAKCCTGCCTGCTGGCCCTCCTGCCTTGCCTGTGTCCTGGCAATGGTCTGGACCAGCTCTGTTTGTGTCTGTCCCACATTCTTTGTGGTTTTATGTGTCTCCACATCAACGTGGAACAGCAGAGATTGGTAATTCAGCAGAGATGCATTCTTGGCTGCTGGTAGAAGCAGGTCAAGTCAGCAGAGAGCAGGCTTTGAGTGCAAGGCATTTCTGGGCAGTTCAYGAGCACTCCTGAGTTATTCCACCTGAATTTCTGCACAGGAGTGCGTGCAAGGATCAGCTGGGCATGAAAGGACAAATATCCATGGCATGGCTTCATTTGCATTCAGTTTGTTCTCCTGGCAGGATGAGGGATTTGCACTGGGGCACTGAGCTGAACGTGACCATCTGCAATTCACTGCGGGTGCAACTCACTGAAAGGGGCTGAAAGGACTCTGTGAAAAACCAAAAGCAGATTGTCAATCAGTCAATCTTCAATCAGAGCCAGGATCTGGATGGTTTCAGAGTCCCAGGACTGCACAGCAGCCGTGTGTCCCTCTCCCGTAAGGAGGGATGCACTCACAATCCCTTGTGTTTATTTTGATTCCATACAAAGCAGAGGTTTAATCAGGATCATTTAAATGGAGGTTTGAAATCAGGAAATCTTACATGGGATTGAAATTAAGGGGATTGAGACATGTTCTTAGAGTCAAGCAAGCTCCTACATACTTYTCTGAATTGGAGCTTAAAGGTCTTGAAGATTCCCAATGAAGAAATATTTTGCAATCGTGCAGTAATTACTGTTCTTCTTTTCAGATCACTTGTTCTTGTGTGCTCTAGAAATATCACAGATGTGCTGGGCAGCTCTGAAATCTCTCTTTTTGTCAGGTTAAGTTCAGCAAAGCCTATTATCTTCCACAAGGGAGGTAAATAYATTTGTTCTTTCATGTTTCTTTGGCTTTTTATTAGGTTGGAAAACACAGCAGAATTACTGGTGTGTTTCCCAACCAAAAATGTACACACTTAATCTATTTCAATATATTTCAATATATTTCAATATATTTCAATATATTAATATATTTCCCAATGTGTTTATCAATATATTTCCCATCACAATATGCCAGTGTAACCCAATAAAAACCTATTGGCTTAGGGTTGGTGAGGAGTAGGAGAGTTATTTCAGGATTTTGGCCCCACTTTGTCAGTGAGAAGTTGCATACTGCAAATTTTTCATCCTAAAGGGAGCTTGTTTTTCTATTAAAAAAAAAAATAGAGAGAAGAGTTTGATAAAGATTCCATCTCTAAAGTTCAACTGCTTTGTCAGGAAAAACAATCATAACCTGAAATGTTGATGAGAAAGAAAACAGTCTGCAGTGAAAGAGAAGCTATTTATTTTTTTTGGATAGAAGGATGGCGAAATCAACAGTTTGGGAGAGTCCTTACTACAATTTCACCTTGAATTGCTGCTATTGCTAAGAAATCCATTGCTATTATTGGTCCAGAAACCCCATGCTGGGTTTCCTGCTGGAAAACCGGGGGCTACTGAGTCCAGGTTTGGATGAATAATGKGAGTGATAAGGAAATCAAGAAAACAGCTGTCTAATTTCTTCAGATTTCAGGCTCTCACCCCGAGATCAGATGGAAAATTTGCTGTATTCCCAGCTTTTTGTTTTTTCCAGTGGAGGAATGAGAGCGGGTTGCTGGGGTTTTTGGGGACTTTTTCCTACTAATTTAGTGAAATTCATATAATTTCTGGTTGAAGTTTCAAAGCTCAGTGCTATGAGCATTCCAGGGGAGGACAGCAAGTCTTTACAGCAGGGGCAGTGATTTCACTTCAGTTCATCTTTGATTCCTGAGAAGCTGCTTCTTCTTTCATCCTTTGAAAAGCCARAGTTTGAGGTTTCCTTTTCGGTTTTTGTCCTGAAACTTGTTTGTTTCATTCTTTCATCAAAGCCCTGAATACTTCTGAAAGGAATTTTTTGATTAAGGAGGAATCTTTTTATTTTGTTTGTTTGTTTTGCCAAGCTTTGTTCCCTGAACCATCTGTGCCATTTCTCTTGGCTGTTCTGGGAATTTACTTCAGCCTCCTGCCCCGACTGCTCCAGGGGCACAAAAATCATCCTGGGGATGCTCTGACTGGGGGGTTTATCCCCTTTGGAGGGATGCAGGGGGACAAASCTGTTTCTGGCTGATCACAGGCTGCCCTTTTTCTGCTTTTCCTAAGGGTGAGGTGCTCACCCCTGTGCCTGCCCTGATTTCCARGCTGGCTGATTGTGTTCTGCCCCGTGAGCTTCCTCCTGCTGCTTCAGGTATTTGGATTATTTGATTTCACAGCTCCAGGACTGCTCTGTGCTGGGGGGGCTGCAGCATTTCTCCAAAGTGCACGTTGCTTCTGCCAGGGATCATTCAAAAAAAAAAAATAAAAAAAAAAAAAWAAAAAAAAAAAAAAAAAWAAAAAAMMAATCCTCTTGACCCCAGCAGGATCAGGATTTAGGGTCTTGTTTCCTGGTTTTGCAAAACCTTATTTAAATGAGAAGTGTTTATGGGAATAGTCTCGGTCCAACCAGCTGCAAATAGCCTTGGGAGCCTTTGCAATGAAAAGTGTAATATAAACACAAGGCATTATTATTAAAATGGAAGAATCCATAATGCCTTTGTAGTTTGGGGCAGCAGAGGAGCAGAGCAGAGTCCACATGGGGGATAGTTTAGGCATAACAGGAAGAAACTGATGTAAACTAATAAAAGAAGGATTCAAAGTGCCTAACCATTTTCAGGTAATCAAATATGAAAAGTACCAGAATAGCAGTCTTATTTAAAAATAAAGAGTAARGCAATATTGCTGCTAATTGACATCTGGGTACCTGGCTCATCCTGTTGAAATACCCACAGATCTGTGATGCAGCAAAGTGATGGTTTCACTGAGGCTCCTTCCCATTTCCACCGCCCTTTCTCTCTCCTGTTTGTTCTGTTATTTTAATTCAAGGGGAAAGGAAGGTCCAGGAAGTTTCCCTGAGTTGTGGAAGGAGGCGGTTCTGTGATTCTGGTAAGTGAACCACCACAGTCAGAGGGTCACTTCTCTCCTGTGTCTGTTTTTCAGGGACTTTTGCCGTGCTTGGCTMTAAAGGATGAGCCAAACCACCCTGGATTGAATCCCTTAATCATGCTGGTTATCAGTTTCTCTACAGTGTTATGTTCCCTTGAAGCTGAAAGGATATTGAGATATCAATGTCCAGATAATGCTGTTGAGTGGTTAAAATTTGCTTTTTCTCGATGTGCTTGGAGCTCATCCCTGCAAAGGCTGGGGTGCCCTGGGGTTAACACTTCTGGGGAGCACCAGCCAGGCAGAGTCCAGCACCACCCCCAAAACCTGCTGTTCTTATGAGATTGTACCAAACCCACCGTGTTATCTCGTGTATTTTATAATCAATAAATACATTCCCATCTTGCCCTCTGTGCTAGAGTTTGATTTTTCAACCAGTGCCTTACAGAGCAGAACAGGAGCACCCTGTGGGCTGCCCTTCCTGGGGGAAGCATTTCAACACATCTGTGATTTGGTATCAAAAGGTGAGTTTTAAAAGATGAGTTTTAAAAGATGAAGTTTTAAAAGCAAGAGCTGCTCTATGGTAACTGTGGGACCAGAAATGAAATTTGTCGTGGAAATTTAGCAATTCCAGGAAAACATGAACTTAAGCAGAGGTAGGGAATTCTCTCTTCAGTCCTGTTTTTTATCCATTGATGTCTGATTTTAAAAACAAAGTGTCCATCTGCTGTGGGATCTTAGGTGAACTCAGCAGCATCCCCATGGTCASTGATCTCGTGACAGCATCTTCTCATTGAACACAGGGCACAAGCAGGAGTTATAAATGTGGTTCTGACTGGAGTTAATGACCAGTCAAATTATGTTTGTCTAACTGATGTGAAAATTTAATTAAAGAGCCAGGAATAAAGCCCAGGATAAATTGTATGCTGCTTAGGGGGGAGTTTTGTGTCCCCTTCAGGCAACGCTCCCATTGACTTTCTGCTCCCATTGATGACTGAAATATTGTCAGTGTTGGTGGCTGATTCTCTTTGCTTTGTGTTTATGCTGCTGCTGTTTGAAGCAAAGACAAAAATGGAGGTTTTTTTGCAAAGTGAGGAGCAACTGGTGACCTCAGTGAGTGCAGCTGAGCACAAAATGACCCCGAAATGATGAAAGACTCCCTTTGGTTTGAGCATGATGTTACCTGGTGACAACAGGGGAGGGACAGGTGATTTCAGACAGGTGATTTCAGACAGGTGATTTCAGACTGCCCCTGTCCTTGAATAGCTCTGCATGTTCCAACAGGTAGGTGAAGGTTTTGTAATAAATGTCCTGTCATTTCTGTGGAATTCTCAGAAATGGCCAAACCATTTGCTGCARGGAAAGGTCAGCGTTTTGTTGGCCAGGCTTTTGCTCCCTGGTGGGTGAGTTGCTCTGGCATCCACRCTCTGGCCAGCTGAGCCTGTGCTGGAGTGGGACACTCTCCTCCATCACACACATTCTGCTCTTGGATGTGGGCTGAGAGCACACCCAGAAGGTTTGCAGGCACAGAAGGAGACCGTGGCTCCATCCTCACATCAGGCAGGAGAGATGTGAGTTGGGTTTGGCCAGGGGAGAGGTCCTGGCTTGGCAGAAAGGGTGAAAAATTCCCGATGCTGCTCAGTGAAGGAAAGATAAATCATGATGCACC